GTATTTTATGTAAAAATTAATTCTCACATTTGAGATTTTAAAATTGAAATTAGAATATAATTGTGAATATTCTAATTAATAAATTATTGTTAATTTCAAGGTGAGATTTTTAACAAACAAATTAGGTTTTAAATATATTAGTTATACATCAATTAAAATATCAATAATTTTAAATAAATTTGATCCTAAGTGACGATGCATATTTTAAACTGCCTACGTCGTTTTTACACGATTTAGTTAACTTCAATCAATGACATATAAATTATGGATTTTGTTAAATAAATCATATAAAATAAAATTTCTCATTCAAACCACTAAGAAGAGTATTTACTTGACTTTAGAGCAGAGCACGCAAGGGTTTCGTAGCACCCCACTTTTAAAGTTTATTTTAGACTTATTATAATGCAAAAAAATATGTACTTATAGGTAAAGGTTAAATCTGTGCTCCTCTAAAGACAGTTTTTTAAAATTTAAATATTTTTTTTTTTTCTAAAAAAAATACAAATCTCGACTTTTTTACCCATTTTCGCCATTTTTTTTTTTTTCGAAAAAACTAAATTGAATTTTGAAAAAGTGGTTCCAGAGGAACATAGATGTAACCTTTACCTACACGAATATATTTTTTCTTTTAAAAATAGTCAAAAATAAACTTTAAAAGTGGGGTACTACGAAACCCTTACATTGCAAGATTTTTCGTCCGGAAAGTGGCACCTCTGTTAGATTTTTAAGAAATTAATATTTGTGAATGAAAACAATTTATAATATATTATACTAATGTTTTTTACGAGGGATAAATAAATTTTACGTATTTGTACACCTTATTGTTTCACGTAAGTCATTTCTGTTATACTAAGAACGTTCTATATAATTTGCAAGGGTTTCATAGTACACCAATTTTACGGATTACTTTTTATTTTTACTACAAGAAAAATTATATAAGTTCAGGTAAAGACTCAACCCGTACCCCTCTGGAGTCACTTTTTGAACATTTGAATCGGTTCCTTTTGAAAAAATCTAAAAAGATATCTTTCTAACGAAAATAAATACAAATTAAAATGTTAGAAGGGAATTTTTACTCACAGGAGCATTTATTTTTCTCACAATAAAAATAAAAAAAATACTTTAAAAGCTTTTTTGGTTAGAGGGTGACACCAACAAAAATTTTATCCTGTTCTACTATTTACAAGTGATAAACGGTACAAGTAATTTGAATTTATTTTGTTTTATGTCTCTACACTTTGTTATTTTACCAAATAAATGGTGAAAAATTTTGTTCAATTTTTATTAACATGACGCAAAGAATTTTAAATTATTTGAAATATGTTTATTAATTTAAGAGTTACAATTTACAACGTTTTTAAGTTCCCAAAAAATAATATTAAGATTCGGATTCGAATTAGAAGTTTTACTACACAGGGTTTTGTGCCAAAGCCAAGCCATGTATTAATATTGTAAAACGCAGGTGAGTAATTATCACATTAATAGATATTGAAAATTTACATATGAATCTTTGTAACGTAATTATTTATAACTTTAATAACTTCATACGGTCAAAAATGTTAGCTACCATTTCATCGGCTCTCAGTGTATCTTTCTCTTCGCCTTCAAACGTAGCATAGCTCTGTTCCTCTCTACGTATCGGCTAATGCATCACATTATTGATGTGCTAAGATTTTCTTCATTTTTTTTTTAATAAAAGTTTTCATTAGATGCCAATGGACAATGTGTCATATTGTTATCTGTTTTTACTATTGTTACATAAAAGAACCTATTATATTGGGAAGAAATATAGATATTTTTTGCTTTGCATTTTTATTATATCTACATTCATCCTGTTGCAGCTTAATGTCCGAATACATTTGGGTAAAATGTAATTTTTCATTTAAAATTTGAATTACGGATTCATTGTTGCAAGAAGCAAAGACAAAAATGATATCAAAATATGACTTCTCAATCCTTGCATGGTCAACAGTTTCTTCAAAATATGTTATTAGCAAATAATATGGACATAATCATTAATTATGCTGAAATATTTAAGTTTGAGCTGACAGCCTCTCCGATGTCTTAAAGGTAAATGGGTATCTCGGCACCTTCACAAATAAGAGTTCATTGGGAAATATTTTAGAGCAATATGGCATTACTCACAAAGACTAACCTGCACTAATTGACTTTGACGAAACTTGTCGCATTTTTGATGGGATAGAATTAGTTCAAGGTTTGGGAAAGTCCAAAAGTTGCAGATCATTTAAAGAATATACTAATATAAGTGTAAAAAATATTTTTAGAAATAAATTTAATGCTCAAAGGATATATGTGTTATTTGATTATTATAAAGAAAATTCTATCAAAAATACAACATGTCAGAAGAAAAGATCCCAGAATTCAATAGATATGGGAATTGACAGACCCAATATTCCACTTCCAGAACAATGGAACTTGTTTATTCATTCGATATTTAACAAATTTTATGTCAGAGCAACTTCTTGAAAATTCCATTCAGCAAAAGCATATTCAATTTGTAACTAGTGGTAGATTCGCGAATATCTATAAATATGGGATGAATTTTGAACCATCATAAGACGATTTCTTAAATTCAAATCACGAAAAAGCTGATACTCGTATCTTATTGCACATATTACCAGCCAAAAATTCGGAACATTCTCGCTGCATTATTGATTGGAACGATAGAGATGTTCTAGTCTTATTAATTTATTTTAAGAAGTTTTTCGTCAAAAATGTATGATTCAGAATAGAACGAGGAGACTCATGACGATATATAGCAGTACGTGATCTTAATTTGGATGAAAATCTTCTGAAAATTTTCTCTGATTTTCATTCTGTAACTGGTTATGATACAACAATTGTCTGGCATTGGGAAAGAAACCTGTTGGAAAACCTACCTTGAACACCATCACCTTTTGGGTGGATTTAGCACTGATCAGTAGGTACTCTAAAAAGACGTTCTCTAATCTTGAAAAATTTTTCATAATACTTTATTCAAAAACTGCAAATGTTACTTCCATTAACATTTAAAGGGGATTAACGGCCTCTTCAAAATCATCGCTAAATTGCCATCGACTGAAGACGTCTTAAGATTACATTGTTTAAGATGTTTTCACCAGCTACATATTTGGCTATATTCTTTAAAGCAGCAGATGCAGCTTGTTAATGTTGAAAAGTATGGATGGAAAGCAGATCAAGATGGAAGTCTAATACCCACTCTTAAGGCTCTGCCCGACTTGCCACCAGACATAACAGAACTTACATCATGCAAATGCAAAAAAAGGTACTATACACCGATAATTTTCATAGATGTACAATATTCTAAGAATATTATTCTATTCTAGACTGTGGAAGCAGAATTTTCATAGCCAGAAAAAAAATATTGGCTGCATCGGTTCCTGCACCTGTATGACACAGAAAAACTGCAAAAATAGTTTGACCATAGCCGCTAATGTTTTGGGAAATGTTGATTCGTTAATGTTAATTTATGCTTTATATACTTCTAATTATTGTATTCTGTAAAGCCTTACTGTTTATAATTTATACTTATATACACTGTGCTTATACCTTCAATAAATAGTTTATATTTTTTTATTTTTTATTTTCCTCAAAAAAAAAATTATGAAGTAATACACCTTATAAAATATTGTTCACCTATATAGCGGATAAATTAATAATCCCTGTATAATGTAAGAGAATCAAACAGATTGCATACATTTCAGCACTGAGAGAGACGCATAGAGAGTCGAGGGACTCTGCGTTCAGCTTGCTTTCCTGTAAAACCATGAAACCACTAATTGTTTATTGCTATATTTTTGTTAATTTAAAAGTAAAAAATATAGGGAGAACACTCTTACCTTGTCAATAAATAGGCGAAACTTTTATGAAGAATATTTTTTTTTATTTTGGCCTTCGTATTTGTCAAATAAAAGAAGAGTTTTTAACCAAATTCGTGGACGGTTGTAACCAAGATATTTTCGTTTAAATTTTTTTAGACCATAAGGGCTAATGCAAATGATTGTTTTTAAATAATTATAGAAAATACAAAGGCCCAATTGTGCATGAAACCCAAAAATTAGCATTTCTTTTTCTCTATACAGTGGTATCAATATCTCGATTTTTTTATGATAGTGCCCTTTTGCTCTGTCTAATTTTGTATTACCTCCGGAATAAGGGTTAGCTTATTATGTACTTTCATCCCCAAAAAACTCAGCTTGTGACACCAAAATTAGGAAGCAAAGTTAAAATAAGTTTTATTCTACACCATACTATATTGTAAAATACATATTATTTTATGCTATCGTGGAATATTTTACGGTTCCTTTATCTCAACTTGGCATGTTAGAGTTTAGAATGTGTATCCCTCATATCTACATGCAATTGTTAAAATTACGAATGAATTCTGATTATGTTTAGTCTCGGAAGTAATTTTGTAGTATTTAGGCCCCAGTTGTAATTTTTATACCTACTAAACTGTCGTTGCCCCGCAGGTCTTTTAGTTTGTAATGTAAATTTTCTTCTTAATACACCATTAAATTTGCAATAATATAATAAGTACCAAATAATTAACATGTTTTTAAAGCACTAAAAATTAAAGAAGAAATTAAAAAAACTCATAATCATTTATTGTAGATACACAGCTTTCAGAACGTGCGGTAATAATCTACTGCTATCTACACCTAATATTTCTGATATATAAAATCATTTATATTGACTATTTCTTGTCATTTACACAAAATGAAAATATTTCATCACATATCTAGAATAAATTAAAACCCTTGTCTAACCATCTTAGATTAATAATTTTGCCTTTTTGTTGTCTCTAGCGTTTTTAAATGTTTTTTTTTTTTGTTTCAGATTTAACTATCTGATTCAATATGATCCAAAAGGTTACACACAAACGAAGATCCTCAACAAAAAGCAGCCAAGACCATTTTAAATGATTATCCAGGAAAGATCCATTATGTGATGAGTGCAGATGTAAAAATTCTTTTAAAATGGGGAGCCTTCCGAATTTGCACGAGTTGGGTAAACTCGAAGGAGAAGAACAAGGCTATAGACCAGGTAAAACTAGTAGCTATTATTCGTGAAAAAAAAAGCTTACCTAGCTTATCGATTTAACAACAGTACGCCAAAAGAAATGTGGAAAACTTTAAAAAATAATAAAATGTTGAAAAATAAACAAGTAGATATTCCGAGTCATTTACATGATGTTAAAAATATTAATCGGTTTTTTATTGATTCTGTACCCAGAGCTGAACCACGTGAACAAATTTTGCAGTTTTATAACAATAATGTGGATTCTCAAACGCGGCATCAGATGCATCCGATGTGGATTCTCAAACGCGGCAATATTGTATTGGTTATGATTTCATTCTGTATGCGCCAGGGATACAAATCCGAGTTGCGGAGTGTATAAACTGGAACATTGAGATCAAAAGTGCCGACGCAGAGTGAGTGAACTGATTCTTTACCAATAAACTGTGGTAAGAGTAAGACTGATTGAAAATAATAAAAATTGGCAACACCTATGCCATACCCATTTAAAATTCAAGGTCATAGAAATCTCATTTCAAAAACTGTTGATCTTTTGCCGTGTTTCGCATTTGTTGTGGGTATTACGATACACCACATACTTTTATTTTCGATACACAGACTAGTCTGTGTATCGTGGAGGTTAATGTGGTTTGGTTCACATACTTTGATTACGGTTTGGTTGCATGTTATCAATTATTCACGATTATGAAGACTATATTTGTCAAATAACTGTCATATTTGAGAGATAAATGTTTAAACTTCAATACTAATCACTTTCAGTTCGACAAAATGCAGCCACTCACTAACATATTAAACTTAAACATCGAAGAGTATAAAAAACTCTTCGATGGTATTGAAGTTATCGTAACAGATTGTGACGGCGTTTTATGGGTAGACAATGAGCCAATACCAGGATCTGCTGAGATGATCAATGAATTTAGAAACCAAGGAAAAAAGATTATTTTTCTTACAAACAATTCGACGAAACATCGAGAACATTTCTTGATTAAGTTAAACAGGCTTGGTTTTATTGCAGAGAAGCAAGATATTGTATCTTCAGCATCGATAGTAGTCTCTTTTTTAAAAAGGAAAGGATTTAACAAAAAAGTGTATTTAATTGGGTCCACGGGACTTGCAAGGGAACTTAAAGATGCCGGAATAAATCACTTAGAAATAGGTCCAGATGTAATAATCCACAACAATTTATACAAAACCGTAGATACTTTTCACGCTGATCCAGAAGTAGGAGCCGTCGTTGTAGGCTTTGATGAACATTTTTCTTATGTAAAACTTTTAAAAGCTGCTTCATATCTGAACAAACAGTCATGTATTTTCCTGGCCACAAATAAAGACGAAAGATTTCCCATAAGTTCCAAAATAGTTGTACCTGGAACTGGAGCGATTGTAAAGTCTATTGAGACAGTATCTCAGAAAGCAGCAATTCTTCTTGGGAAGCCAAGCAGTTATGTTGTTAAAACTCTTGTTGATGACTACGGGGTTCAACCTATGAGATGTTTAATAATAGGCGATAATTGCAAAACAGATATTTTGATGGGTTCAAGAAGTGGACTTAAAACTCTATTAGTATTATCAGGTCTAACAAAACTACCAGAAGTTGAAGCTTGGAAGAATTCATCTAATAGAGATGATTCTGAATTCGTACCAGATTATTATGTTGCCAAGTTGGGAGATCTCGTTAAGTTCGTGAAGAAAGTTGCTTAAAGATGCCTATAGTTTTATTTCTTATAAGAGACTTTATAATTTAATATAATGTGGTTCTATATTTTCTCAATCTTATTTTCGATCTAAAATATACAATTAATAAGTTTTAATTTATTTTCATACATCATACAACTACACAACTGAAACTTCTCTATTATACGAGATGTATTGCCTGAAACACCACGAGACCGCAGCAGGTCGAGTGGTGTTTTTCTAGGAAATACATCGAGTTTCGAGAATTTTTCAATGTCGAATTTCTCATGAAATAAAAAATCGATTAATTCGGTAGACATTTATTTAAACGAGTCATGATGGAAAATTATAACAAAATTGACAACTGTCAAATTTTGAACTGAAGATTTAGTCCAAGGACTGGTAATAGACCGTCACATAGTGACTGATTTAGGTGCCCCATTTTCGCATACAAGCCTCGAAGAGGGTTGAAAAGTACATCGATTTTGAGTAGAATGAAAGGAAATTTACGAAATGTCCCTGGGGATATGGAAAATTTGATTTTCCTTAACAGAAATAAAAGGTGTTTTTTGCTCATGTTTCCACGCAAGCCGTTTTTACTATATGATTAATTAATAGAACTAGGCTTCGAAAAACCAAAGGCTTTAATATTGCAAGTGGCTAAAGGGTTGAAATAAGGGCGTAATCTCGTAAAGAAAAATTGATATTGTAACTGATTTTTCCACACAAGCCCGTCGAAAGTATGAATGCATACATCGTCACTAGCCCGAATGGCTTGAATGGTGCGAATGGATAAGTGAATTTTGAAGTCGGAAAAATTACCGCAATTTTTTTTTTATTTTTGAGTTATTTTTCATGCAAGCCTTTTTAACCATAGAATGTTATTAATGTGTTAGACGTAATAATAAAATTGGCATGAGTATCGGATGTGGACGAAACGAAGGCTTGCGTCGGAAAGTTGCAGGAAAATTGTATGGAAAATGCCAGAATTTTCCCACGCTAGCCGTTTGACATATGCTTAGAAAAAGTGATTCTAAGACTATATAAAAAAAGGCTTGAGTGTCGGACATGGTCATCATATTAATTATATATAATTTATTTAACAAAAACTGACAAAAAAAGTTTATAAATTTCCACCATTTTCCCACATAAGCCTTTTGGAATATGCTTGGAAAAAGTGATTCCAAGAACATTATTGTTGGAATTCGCTATATAAAAAAAAATAAAACTAAAAACCTAAATGTCAAAAACTAAATGTCACCCTAAATCATCTAAATATCGAATCTCAAAGTTATTTTATATTAATTTTATTATAAGAGTTGTCTCGTTGCCGGACTATTCAACGACTAATTTTATACATTTTAAATGTTTATTAACTTAACGCCCTTTTAAATGATTGTAAAATTCAAATATTTTATTTGATTAACTGAATAAATGTATATCATAGTACTTACCAATTATTTAATTTGAAGAAAAATAACTAATGTAATGAACACAACAACCTGTAACTTCAATTTTAACCAAAAAAATACCACACAATAATTATTTAATCCAATAACTTGTATAATTTGAAATAATGTCACATATCATAGGAACATCAACATTTTCTGTCAAAAGATTTATCTCATGACATTCTTGATTGCTTTAATATCTTACATATGCAATCTAAAATGGTTTCAGGAAGTGTCTATTCCATAGAATACTTGATTGTCATCATTAAGTTCTAGGATATCTACTTTTTCATGTTTAGTAGCTGCATTTTTATTTTATGCATACATTAATTTTATAAAAATTTAAAAATGGACCAACATATCTTTGTTACAAAGATGTCTTTTCACCTCTGAGTAAAGTTGAAAGTAACTACTTGCTGATTAAACTATGGGAATATTGTTTGTTAATCTTATAAGTATACCTACATGTAACTTTACTCAGAGGTTAAAAGATCGACCCTTAACAGGTATTTTAAAGTTTATATTTAATAGCCCTTTGGAAGAATATATACATTTTTCTATAAAATAAACATGTTGTTAATTCAGCACTAAATTCATATTAAAAGTTATTATACGAATAATTACCGAACAATAAATAATAATAACCCTGCATAAATATTTATTTATAAATTTTTTGTCTGTTCTTTTTTAGATAAATAATATGCTCCATGTCGAATACTCGAGCCTTTTGTTATATCGTTTTAAAATTACTGTTTCTAAGCATATGACAACCGGCTTGCGTGAGAAAATGGTGGAAATTTCTAGATTTTCTTGTCAGCTTTTTGTTAAATAAATTATAAAGATATACATAATATGATGGCCATGTCCGACACTCAAGCCGTTTGTTATATAGTCTTAGAATCACTTTTTCTAAGCATATGTCAAACGGCTTGTGTGAGAAAATTGTGGCAATTTGCATACATATTTCCAGCAACTTTCCTATGTTCTGAAAATATGAAGACCACGCTCTGCACTCAAGTCATTATTTTTTTATGGGCTCTTAATTTCATAAGTTTTTATTGCAAAAAATTTCGTTGGTGGGAAAAATCGAAAAAAATTTCTATTAAATTTTCCAACCTCAAAATGGACTTATCCACTCGGGCCACTCAAGCCAATATGTTTTTCGGGCTAGTTACGATGTATGTTTTCATACTCTCGTTTGGCTTGTGTGGAAAAATCGGTTAAAATATCGATTTTTCTTTACAAGATTACGCCCTTATTTCAACCCTTTAGCCACTTGCAACATTAAAGCCTTTGGTTTTTCGAAGTATAGTTCTATTAATTAATCATATAGTGAAAACGGCTTGCAGGGAAAAATGAGCAAAAAACACCTTTTATTTCTGTTAAGGAAAATCGAATTTTCCATATATATGTTCTAAGGTTTAAAATCACTTTATGATTATAGATTGTAAACAGCTATTGTGAGAGTATTTTCAAGTTATTCTTCCTTTTATTTTATAAAGTTTTTTGAATAAGATGTCAGATTTAGAGGAACAAGAGGTTGATGAACCTAGGAGAAAGAAAGGTAAAGTCAATAATTCAGAACATAGCAAAGAAACAGAGAAATTGGCCAGGAGCAAGGGGGAAGAATTCGTCACTATTAAAGGACTCTTAGTTGAGGCTAAATCAACGGGGCCAAATTGTTCTTGCCGTAATGGACAATGTCTCAAATAAAAATAAATAAGAAACAATCACGTCTTTATACAATCGGCAACCAAAAAATGAAAAAGATACCTACTTGATGGGTTTGATAGAAAGACATGACGTTTTTAGGCATCGTCCTATCCAAGCAGACTCAAAACAAATTCCTTCTTCTTTTACATGTTTCGCTATGAAAGGCAATATTCGTATTAAAGTATGCCGTAATGCATTCATCAGCTTGCATGCTATATCAAATAAAGCATTAGCTTGACTGACACATCTGCTGAAGGCAAACGAATTACCAAGAGATGGTCGTGGTCGACATTCTAACAGAGCACGAGCAATACCAGCCTTTGTTACTGATGAAATACATAATCATACCAACGCACATTATTTCTCATTACAGTTCTAAGCCTATAACTTCCCTTGAAGCAGCGTTGAAAACGACGAAAATTGATAACCAATTCTTAGAAAAATTCCCTCAATACAAGACAGTAAAATATGATTACTACCTCAAATATTTTAAAGAAAATTTTAACTACAAATTTGGCCAACCACAGGTAGATATTTGTTGTGAAGAATTAAATACCAAGATCCAATCAACTTTTTTAAATGATGGCGCAAAACGTATCGCTGCTGCTGAACTCATGGTGCATAAACGAAGGGAAACGAAGTTTTATAACAAGCTGAAAAGCGTGCAAGAGTTGAGCAAAACTGACCAAAAAGTTAGTGGAATAGTATTTGACTATATTCAAAATTTTCCTCTGCCCTTTATGCCTATGCAGGAGATGTTTTACCTGAGAAAACTATCGTATTATGTGTTCAATATTTAATACTGGAACGTCTATATTTTATAACTGTCCGGAAGGAGAATGCAAGAAAGGGCCTAACGAGGTTTGCCCTTTTGTACTAGATTTTATTGAAAAGTCTGTTCCAAAGGAAGTAGAAATTCTTCATGTTTTTTGTGATGCGTGCAATGGGCAAAACCGCAACCACACTCTTACGATATTGTTGCTTACTCTAACAATGAGGGGTGGTTTCAAACTATCCTGTTACAGGACTTTTGGTGTGGTCAAACGTGTAAACATGATCGAATTTATTCACTTGGAGAGTACAAGGAAACTATATGCAATGCTAAGAACTCCATCCTAAATACATGGTAAAAGATATTAATCATGAAGATATACTAGACTTTAAAAACTGGTAGCATTATTATTTTAAAAAACCTGTACAAGTACGCCTTCTACTGGATTAACCGTCAAAGTACCTTTTACTATTAGTAAGTACAGACCAGAGGTACACATAACCAGGCAGAAAAAAGATATGTACAGTGTGGTGAATACATAGACAGTTTTTGTGTAAACAAATTTAAATTGAGTAAGGTTGACGACGGGCCTCTACCTAGTACAAGGGCATATATAGGAAGAGTCGCAATAAAGAAGAAAAAGGTTGAAGATACTTCAAAAATTTTGCAATACATACCTAAAGACTGTCTTCAAAGAAAAACTCACTAGGCCCACTGCAGAAGGTGATGAGGAAGATTGATATACGATGCCAAGTTTGAGAGGAAAATGTTCTTATAATTTTGGTGTAAAAACAAGTTCATTTTCGATAAAAAATAAAAATTTGTTAAGAACTTTGGTATTTTTATAATACTTCCTTATTTTAAGTGGAAAAAAGGTAATATTCCAAATATTAAAACCTTTTTAACTCAGGTAAATAAATTAATAAAAAAAAATTCAAATTTATTACTAAAATACTTTTATATAGCACTAAAATAGTAGATCATTTTTCTGTTACACTAAAAATAAAGCTGTAAAACAGCTTTCTTTTATTTCCCAAAAGTTACGATTTTGGAATATTATCATTTTTCCACTCACCGATTCAAATGTAAACTGTATTATGGGTAAGTTTTAGTGTTAAAAATGCATTTGAAGCTTAATTATTTCATTTTAGTAGATATTTGGTCACCGTAAAAAATCTTATATTAAAAGGCAATTTA